TTTCGATTCTTGTTATCATAGTATGACTAGTCTTTTGCATTCTCGGGATAGAGTAGCTTATGGTACTAGTCGCTTTGGAAGTCCTTTTGCCAGTGCCGGTTGCGCAGTATGTTTGATATTTGCCTTCATAGTTGAGTCACTTGCAGAAAATCGAAGGAAATATGTATAGAACGTTCAAAACAATGACCAGTTTTGGAAACTATTACTCCTTGTGGAAAATCGATGGTCTGAGTTTGAAGTAGAAAATGGTGAAAGGCACGCGTGATATTATTTCTGCTAATTTTTTCCTGTTATACTGCATATTAATTGTTATCTAATTGATATTAAAGGGCATCACAATAGTTATTATTGTTTTCCTTTCAAGAACACATATTGCTGCCAATTTTTCCCTGTTTTATACTCAAAACTTCAACGAATGCTCATTAATAAGTGTTTATCAATTATAGAAACTTTTGCCTTTATGCGTCAAAAGTTAGGTTGCTAGTAGGTAAATGTCAAGGGGCACGTACTTAAAAGTATAACTTCAAAATCTCTGAAAACAAAAACAAATGAGCACGAGACCCTGAACCAAATATGTCCTGATACGATAAACAAAAAATATTTTATGCTAAAACGATAAATATATATTGCACAACCTTTTGTAGCCTAACCAGCTTTACCGAAACATACTTTAGCCGGATTGAAAGAGGACTGAAACTACCTTATGAAATCATTTCACCAAGTTATGGGAATTCTTTTATTAATCTTCCTCCAAACCCAGAATTGATCATATAAGCAACATTGAAATCATTAATATTTCGTAGAGTCACTAGGAGCATCGGCTCCACGAGGAGTCTTTCCTGGATAATCAGTTTTCGAAGAACTTTTGAAGACATCACACTAAAAAATTAAAACGCAGGGTGAGAACGTTTAGAATCATAAATAAATCCATTATACATTTCAGTTGCCGATTTGAGCATTGTACCTTCTATCAACTATGATCACTGATCGAAGTTTGCAATTGTTGAAGCTGCAAAACAAACTTGCAAATGTAAATTTACTTCTCATTCTTGCAGGCGATTCATGTTCATAAGTTTCGAATTTTATGGATACATAAACTGTCATAGCATCATTGTACAATCAGAATATGGAATCACACAACTTAAAAAAAAATGTACGATTGATGCAAATACAGATGCATAATCCCTCGACTTCATTTCCAGTCCATCTTAAAAATCTCAGGCCCCTCTGAGCAAGGTCTTTATCTGCCTCCCTGACATCAATTTTCCAGGAGAAATTGCCAGAGAAACTCAAGAAGGAACATATACTTGCCAGAGAAAAATCAATGGTGGGAAAAAGCAACTTGTATTCACTTATGCTCCTTCTCTTATCACACCAGTTAAGCCCCTGCATTAGATTTCTCATCAAGAATTGAGTAACCCTTTAGCTTCTTTTTTTTTTTAAAAAAAATAATATAACTCTTAACCTGGAAATCCCTAGCCCAATCAATAAGTATGGAAAAAGGTAAAAGTACTTAATTGAAGTTATGAAAATAAACTAATCCCATGGTTTGTGAAGGTCTTTGCAAGATTCCAAAGATCGAACACTTTTCAACAGTAGAAAGAGATTTTTCACTGTTCACATTATGATGAATGAAAGTAAAATCATGAAAAGTTCAAAACAAGGGTATATCGAAGTATTGAACATGACACGGGTGATGCTGAAAACAGAAGTTAGAGGCTAAAGGAAGAAATGGATTTAGTTTTTCTTCAAAAAAATATTTCAACAACCCAATGAGCAGAGGCAAGCACCTAAGAACCCTCTGAACATCAAACCAAACACACCTAGGCTAGCAACCACCCAGAAACCCAAGACAAAAACTAGAATCTCAAACAACAAAACACACTATCAGAAACCCAACAATAACAGAAGATGCTGATTAAAATGTCACATATCTTCATAATTTTCACCATACATGTCCAAAAATATCATCCACCTTAAATTCCAATTTGCAGCCACCAAACTTGGATTTTTCTATCTATAGACATTTTTTAATCATACTAAATATATTATCCAAATTCTACCACACAGTACAAATCACAAGAAGCCGACATCTCCAATTTATCAAAAATTTAGTAGAAATGAAACCCACGCAAACAAGCTTACATAAAACAAAAATGTTAAATCAACTGTAAACATATTACCTAGTAGAAGCCCACAACTCCAATTTGCAGTCGTCCTCGTCGGATTGTCGACCGAACAACGGTGGTAGCCCTCAACCCGCAGTCCTCTCCACGTGATAGCCCTAACCTCGTCGTCCTCATAATTACGTCGTCGACGGCCGAAATCCGGTCGTCCGCAGAATGTCGACAGAGCCCACGTCGTCTCTGTCTTCAGGTGGCTCTCGTCCTCGCGTTGTTTTGGGTAAGTTTAGGGTTCGAGCTTGACGGATTTTCGAAAGAGGGGCCAATGTCCGAACTAGCTTCAATTTTATGAAAGTGAAGGTAAATTGGGCATTTAATGTCTTATCCTATCATTTAGTCCATGATAGTAAACATGGACAAATTTCAGACTTTTTAATCCTATAATGTAAACATGAGACAATAAGCTGACGTGTAAAGTTGGCTGGATTATTTTGTATAATCCTATCTATGAAAGTAAACGACCCCTTATGGTATTATTCTTGTAGAAAATCGTTATGAATGGGAGAAAGGACGAAAAGCGGGGGAATTTATATATTTATTATTAAAAAATAATAAGTGGACAAAAAAAAAAGAAAAAAGAGTGAGTGGATCAAAATAAAAAGCACGTATTTATGAAATACGTTTTCTTTATAATGATTGTCCTTGACTCTTATTTATAGTCATGGCGTAAGAGACCATAATGGGAAACTAACGACGCTGGAACTTGAAAGGAATTCTAACATCAGATGGAGTTATTACCATTCTTGGAATCAACACTTTATCACCTGCGTGATCGCCAGTGAGTATCTTACACTCGAGAACATGAGTGGAGAGCTTCGTCACTACCAATCGTGTTCCATTACACAGACCCATAGAATGGTCCATATTCCGCAACAGCATGATCG